GGGATTTGAAAACACTCACAACACTTCACCTTTATGCTGGGCTAAACTCAGGGTAGCCATAAACACTCTGAAGTAATACAAACCTAAATATTCCTGCTAGGCAAACGGAGCAGTGGAACCGAATTATAATGAGCTAGCAGCTGTCACAATATGACCACAGTAACCAAATCAAAATATCAACCGCTAACCCAGATGAGATTCAAAGGTCATCCTGTAAGCCAGCAGCTTTCTTCAGTTCTGCCTGAAACCTCAATCTAATCCTGCAGTAAAATGTTCCGCTGAGCTAGGTTAGAACCCAGCTACTCTGTGGTATAAATTATTTAATGCCCTGGGAGAGTACCATGAGTAGGACTAGAACCAAGTACCACAGTAAGGAAACTGAACCATTCAAAATAGGGTCTGTGAAAGCACAGTCCTTGGTGCGGAACTAAGCTGTAGCCAACTGTACAAAGGGATCACTTTTAACACCCTCCAGTCACCAATGCTCGTATGTAATCTTAAGGAGCAACTTGCTCACTTATCCTCAATGTGGTTTTGAATTGATGCTGTGGAATAATAAGAGGAAAATGAATGCTTAGCTCCTTCCTTGGATCAGTTTTAGCTAGAAAATATATACTGTTACCTTTGTAAAAATATTTGGACAATTACCTGCAAAAGTTTAGTGCTTGATAAAGGGGGAGAAAAAAAAATCAAGATTTTTTTTAAAAGTCCATATTCTTTCCATATACTTCTTACCAGGAGTTTCAAACTATTCTATAGCAGAAAAATAATCCTCTTAAAAACAGAGGAGCTGGACTCATCAACAACCCTTTGTACCATTAGCATATTCTAAAAGCTATCCAACTGACCACCTAGGAAGGTTTCATCAAATTGTTTAAAAACTGCAATAAACAAGTTTCCAGCAGGTCCAGTGTACATTATAATCATTAATAATGATAGGCAGTCACAAGGCAGAAGTGATTTCTTTTCTCCAGATATAAAACAATGCATGGAATTTCAACTAAGGCAAAATGCAAACTAGCATGTATCTGCACAATGAAAGCAATGAGTAAGTTTTTAGTAAACGTCAGGTAAAAGTATATGAATTGGTCGATCCAGGCAGTCAGTACTGACATCTCTCAACCCTGCCAACATCAAAATAAACACAAAGGCTATTCACATGTATTTATTAAAAATTAGGAGTTGCTTTTTGTTTCTTTTAGTTACGTTTTTTTAAAAAGACAAATATCAACCACTAAAATCCTTTATGACAATTATACCCACAGACAGTAACACAGAATAACTTTATAAACCAGGAAGTGTCATTAATTCTTCTAGCAAGATAGTTACACTGTGTGTGTGTGCACGTGTGTGTATAAGCAAGCACACATGGGTGTTTTTTTACTTTAGGGATTCACAAAGTATTAAATAGTGCTATTTTTCACACACACAAGCTTATTTTTAAAGGAATAAATTAACACAAACATTTTATTACTTTTCTTTTGAGATGGGGGCTCATTCTGTTGCCCAGGCTGGAGTGCAGTGGCGTGATGTCGGCCCACCGCAACCTGCACCCCCTGAGCTCAAGAGATCCTCCATCCTTGGCCTTCCAAGTAGCTGGGACTTGGTGTGCCACCACACCCAGCTAACTTTCTGTATTTTTGGTAGACACAAAGTTTCACCATGTTGCCTAGGCTAAAACACTTCATTACTCTTATAACTTATGACCCACTTTGCATAAATTTGAAACAGAGACACAAATAAACTGAGTTTTGGAATGTCGGTGCCAATAGAAGTATTATGCTTAAAAATCTGTAACATGCAAAACGATTCATGTGAAATCAAGAAGTTCAGAGTTGTAATAAAGGGTTTCGTTACCATAAAAGAGCTTGTGAACAAAATGCTAGCAATGCCTGTATCATTTCCCTAAAATTGTATACGGCTATAAAGAACAAAATATATAATTAATAATAACCCATTCTCAAAAGAAAAAGAGTGGTCCAGTGCTTTTTTTCTTTCTTTGCAATAAAATAAAACCTTACTAAATGAACAGTTTACCCAAAAAAAGGGGGGGAAAAATCAGGTCATCTACAGTTAATAACTCTTTCCTGTAAAATTAGTGTCACTTATTTCTGTAGCAGACGCCTAATTCAGTCACAGGCTTGATTGATTTGACAATAGAGAATCTGCTCCAATAAAGTGGCTGATTTATTTCTGATGCTATAGCTTTTACCCTGATGCGACATCACAGCAGAATTAAGTCTTTGAAATGGAAAGAAATACTTTGTAGTTTTAATAAAAACCAGTTAAAGATTCTGAAAGTGGAGACTGGATTGTCAAACACTTGCACTAAAATCTACTACCCTCTTTTGGTAGAAGGAAAATGTCCACAAAGGTCACCACATGGGCTGTGGGTCTGGACAGGAAGTGTGGTTTAGAATACAGCCTGCAGTCTATGAGTTCAAACTGTCCCCTACACCAAGAGATCTTACTTTGTTTTCATCATCATTTGCAAATTAGTTGTCCTTAATTTCTTGAAAATTATCTATCTTTTCTTTGTAAAGCTATAACATAACACCAAATATGGCTCATCTGAAAAGTGGTTTCGTTTTAAATAAACACCAGCTTGGGCAAAATCAATGGGAATCTTTGTTTCCCGAACCTAGCCTTCAGAAACGCAAGCCAATCAAGGCAGTGTTTGAGATACGAGAAATTAGAGCGGTGGGAAGATCTTTTAATACAGCATCTTTTTAAAAGAGTCAATTCTCTTTTTAAAAAAAATATTCTTCTCTAAACTAAAAATGTAAAGTATTTCATACTCATTTCAGTGTCTTGTTCTCCCTTTTCCCCTTTTTTGCATACTGCGCAATGCCCTCTCGCTCTGAGGGCGACTTCCCTGACCCAAGTCTGACACTGCGCCGTTAATGTCAGATAAACCATTTAGCCCAAGCACAATTCTTTTCTGTGCAAAAATCTGCTTGAGGTGGAAAATGTAGCAGTTTGTAAACAATAAAGAGCCATGTTTCAAACCAGACAGCTTATCTAACAGAGAAGTCCTTTCATTGGGAACAGTGGGTGGGGGCCTCGTGGACATAGTAGCATTTCCTATCACAATGCAGGAGACTGTCTTGGTCTCCATATTTAAGAGTTCAATGAGAAGGAGGGCAGACGGGATAAAAGAGCAAGGCTGACATGGATTTGCAGCCTAAACAACAACTAAGTGAAAAGAATCAGCTCTCTCTGCTCTGGACTGTCGGGCCACTTATATTTTAAATACTATTTGGATTGAAAAACTAATTTGATTTGTAAAGCAGTTGCCCATGAGGAAACATGAACAGAGCAATCATTTAATCTATTTGTATTGCTTGGTGTATTCTTTAATATGTATTTATCAAGTTGCTCTTTAGAGTTAAAACTTTTTTCACAAAGATAATATAAATTTCTCACTGAGTATTTATTCTATTTTTCTTACTGTAGCTCATTAGAGGATCATTTTAGTATCCAAGGAAGTTAGTATAGTTTTTAGGTGCTACTTCTCAAGACTATATTTTCAAATGAATCTTTTATTCTAAGTGGTTGTGTGAAGATGAATACAGAAGCAAAGGTGTTGGAAATAAAATCCATAACTATTGACCTTGAAGAGTCAAAAGTTGCCTTTTAAAATGTAAGTTGATAAATATATCTAGTCATCTGTGTTTACATATCCTGAGAACAAGAAACAATGCACCTCCTTATCAACAACTGATAAAAAAAAAACCAGGATTCCTGTTTTAGCTACAATGTTAAAACAGAAGTATGAAATTTACTACTTTGAAGGCAGAAAGAGCACAAAAATAAGAATACTCTATGACTGAAAACAACTTTGTGGTTCCCGAAGTTAGTAAGACACCCAAAGGCACAAACCTATGATGCCACCCATTAAGAATAGATTGCTAGTATTTATCTGCTTTGACTATTTTGTGTTAAATATCTGAAATCCATTTAGATGGATTTGATGGTGATTTTTCAAAGATGCCTGAGATTCAAGGACTGTCTACACCTAAGTAACTGGTATAGCTTCCAAAGCTTAAAAATTGCAACATTCTTTGGAAGCATTTGCAGTTATAGTCTCAGAAAAATATAATGATCACTGTGTGTTTCCTTGGAGTGTTGTCCAACAGCTTGTATCAAGAAATTTAACTTCACTTATTGACAAATTCTCAAGAGAATTTGGCCAAGTTGAGAGATTTACTAATATTGTTAAGAACTCATGTTTACTAGAACAAAGATCATTTTTTCAATCAAAACTAAATTAACCAGCTATTGGGACTTTTTAAGCCACTAGGAATCATCTTTTCATTGCTCAAGTTACTGCTGTTAAACATCCCTACAAGGTAGCCAAAAGCAGAGAAACATGCTGAGGATGCTAGGATGAAGGTCATGCTGGAGATTAACAGGCAGCCTCAAACTAACAGGTAACTTGCTTTAGTGGAAAGAATGGGGTCTGCCTAGGCCATTAGCACTAAAGTTCACGCCTTGATAAATACACATCCAGATTTTACAATTCAACTTGAATGCACTACTCTGATTTCAGCACACTAGGCCCATTAACCACTATTTATTTTCATAACCCCTTTCGCAGAAATCACAGTTAACGCTGACTATGTATCACTGCCAACCAGCAAGCCCAGTGATATTCTTCTGAGTATTCAGCACTTTGACTTCATCAACCTTAACTTAGGAAACTACTGATACAACGTTGAAACTGTGGTACATGCTTTATGTCTAAGGAAAACAAAACTTCCACGTAGGTTCAGTATCACTAAAAGCATTTCATTCCATATGGTTGCAAAACTTCATCCTTGATGCACTATTACCAAACACAGACTGCCAATACTTTTCTGCAATTTAAGATTACTACAAGTGAATTGACTAAATATCCAAGTTTCTAAAAGCAGAACCTCTGTCTAGGGCTTGGTTTTAACTTCTACAGTAAAACATAAGCAGACAAAAAGTGTATGTTAATTTAAAATGGGTCTTACTTTGTATTCTGGAATTGACAAAAGGTGGAGAGAGATTGTCATGTGACCCAAGGTCCCTGCTGGTCATGTGGTCATAGGGAGTCCCATCTCCATAGTTCTGCAAATAAAATGACAGTATGTTATTATTTTATATTAATAAACAGCACATAAACATAGCCCCACTACTGAACCTTCTCCCATCCAAAGAAACTGGAGTCCATGATTCCCTCCTTGGAACTTCACTAGAAGGAAACTACACCTTCAAAGGTAATAGTGGCTAAAAGAAAGCTCTAGAGTCTACAAAGGCCAAATTTCCTCGTAATAGCTGAGAAATCTTAGGAATAATAATATTGGTATGAACTGCATGGAGTTGTTGACATGATTAAATAAAATAGTGTAGGTAAAACACCAGACACATACAAAGTATACTGCCTATATTAAAAATTATTTTAATAAGGCCACATTAAAGCAAAATTGTGCTACAAGGGAAAATCAGCCATGGCATGCAATGAAGTGCTTTTCAAAGACCAAGATACAGTCATTCAAACAGTAACATTTGGTGTTTGTTAGGATATTGAAGTTTCAGTGTTTTATTACAGTTACTTTTGTGATTGTAAGAGAACTAGATTGTCACATAAGTAATCAACACATAAGAATATTAGGATTTAACTATGATATTATCAAAACATTAGCATAAATTAGCATTTCTGGAGTTGGACAAAGTATGTCACAAAAAACGACCAGTTGCAAAGCAGACAAATTTTGACAGAAATATTTCATTATTACAATCAGCTTACTGTTTTAACAGGAATTTAAAATTAAAATAATGTTTTTAAGCTGTCCAGATACTTAATTTTAATGGGGAAATTTGATAACATGATAGGAAAGAGTTAAAATCATCTAGACCACATGGTCCAACTTTGTCTCCTCAAGTGCATCAAGTGACCAAAAAGAGGGGGAAAAGTCATTCTGCTCAGCTGGCTGAACTGCCCATAAAGTCCAAGTCAAATTTACTCAGAGGTATCGGTTGGCATGTGAGCCAAAGGGCAGAATCTGCCCACACAAAAAAAGAGGGCTGCTGTATCAACCACAAAGAAGACACATCCCCTCAACCTTAACAACAACCCAGTTCTCAATCGTCTTTCCTCCAACAATTAACTTCACTGACACTGTAATCTAATTCCACCAATATGTCAATCTATAAAAAGAGGCTACATTTTAAATACCCATCGTAGATTTTACATCCACTCATTCTAAACCAGGCACTGCATAATGCCAATTATCACTTATTAAGTGTCCTCATCCTAGATAGTGTACAAAAAGCTTAATATATATTATCTAATTTAATCCTCAGCACAGTGTTGTAAGGTAGAAGACACTATCCTCATTTTAAGATGAAAAAAGACCTCGAAAGTTTGTCTGGGCATAAATCTGCCACAAATAATCTGTCTCATACAATCTTCTGGATTTAGAAAATATAAATTACAGTAAATTGGTCTGAAATTATTCACCAACATATTCCTTGAGAAAAATGGCAGGAAAGCTAACAAAAACCAAAAGTTAAGTTAGTTTTAATCCTAAATCAAGATGATTCTAAACAGACCTTGTTTTCCGAAACACAATTAAAAGTACCATGTGTACTGAATGGGGAAATCGTGAGAAATTAAAAAAATCTGGAGGAACTAAACAATTGAGGGGAGTTCTATCATCTCCACTCGCTGTCAAGGGGAATGGATTTATTTCTGCAAGTGCAGACTGTAACATGAGGAGGAGGAAAGATTTCCTCAACCCATCCATATAAAGCATTAGAATGTCAAGCTCGACAGCTGGTGTAAGGGCTCACAAAGTTACTGGTAAGCTTAGAGATCCTGCTGTACCCTGACAGTAGACTAAGGATCACAATGCCGAGGACAGGTGGAAATGTGTAACTCTGGCTTGCTGAAATGTTCTCATTTTGACAGCCTGATTACCTTCCCTGCCTCTTATGCCAAAATAGAGACGCTTCCCCCAACCCAAATTTGTGTGAACACTTACAGTAAAATGCTAACCTCCCTGTAGAATGTTTCATCTATATACAGCCGGTTGGGAGAGGAAGAGATGCTGGTTTTACTATGTACACTAAGTCTACTTTTAATCTGGGGCATCGTATGTATATCATAAATACTGACAGGGATTTTAGAGGGCCTAGCAATGATTCAGTTAAAAAAATATCATACAAAATCATGGATATTTAAATTGGGAAAAAACACAGACGATCCTCTGGCTCTACTTCCTCATTTTGCAAAATAGGAAAATGAGGACCCAAGAGGTGCAATGACATGCCCAAGATCATGTACATACAACAACACAAGTGCCTAACCACCAACGCAACTCCTCTTCCGTGTTCTTCCTATTACACCCAAGAAACCACCAATGCCTGTAGGAAAACTGTGGAGAAGAATAGCAAAGAGTTGAGAAAAATAAATGAATGATCCAACCAGCGATCAAAGGCCCTACTGGTGGAATGGTAACATGTCTACAAAGTGAAAGCAACTCAGAGTCAGTACGTACATTATACTGTTGGACAGAACCTCATACTGTATCTTTGGGATAATTCAGTAGTCTCTTCACATCTTATAGGGATATTAGGAATTTAAGTTTTTTCATCTACAACAAATAGCATTGTGTAATATGGATCAATAACTGACCGAAGAAAGGCCAAATATGTAATGAAGGAGTTTTCTTCTGGTTAGCAAAAGTAGAACAGGTGTCAAATTAAATAACAGCATCCAATAAGAGAATAAGAAAAAAAATTCCAAAGTCAAGCTGACAAGCTGATACTCATTAAACTTAGTATGCACGTATATTTATGTCTGTGTGTGTGCCCATGCCTGTGTGTGTATGTGTGTTTGAGAGAGAGAGAGAGAGAGAGACAGAGACAGAGAGACAGAGACAGAGATAGAAACACGCCTTCTGTTTGTTAATTTACATATGTGGGATGTCTGGTTGTGAGAAAAAAGATTAGATATACTTACCCTGGACGGGCTTGGATGTCCTCCATTCCCCCAGGACCCTGAGCTACTTCTGTCTTCTACATCTAGGGACAAGAGAAAAGTTCTTTAGGCTTTCTTGCAGTAATTTTTTCTTTTTGTATATGCACTTTTAAATTAATGTTTCAAATTAATCTCCTGTTGCCTTTAATTAAGAACCAGGCACAGGGCTACCATGATGATAGTGGCTTCTGACCCATCTACTTAAATTAACTCATTTAAATTCACAGCAGAAATGAACTGGACCCTCAGGAACCAGAGGTATGAACAGAAAAATTACTTCCATCCTTCACCGTTTTTGATAGCCTCAGTTTTTACAGATGTGAAACTGTACTTATAGTTTTATGACAATCTTTTGGATGAAGTGAGTTTAAAAATGCACTAGCACAACTTTAATCCCAAAAAAGTTAAATTAAGGTAAATATCCACACTAACACCTTTAGCATCCTCATCATAATGCTCTTAGATACTTTTTGTTCTGTAGCTCAGGCTTATCACAGGAGACAACAGACATGTAACGGAAAACCAGACTGAAAAATTATTCACTAGTCTATTTCCACGAGCACATTACAAGGGTATTAGGACTTAATATATATATATATTTTTTAGGTTAAGACAATACTGTCTCTCTCTTTCAATTTTTCTTTTAAAACTAGACATACCACTTGGCCTACAATCCTTATTCTGGGCTTTGATATGTAGAAATGAATGTCATTATTCAATTACAAAGCAATGTTTTATTTTGATGGATGACGGCGAAAAGACCTACATGAACCATTGAAACGTTGGAATTCTCAACTCGATACCAGCAAAGTTTGAATGCAGAGTCGATTACGAAATGTTCCATCCATGCTTCAAATGGCAAATATGCAGGATGGAAAGTCTAACAGCTAAGTTACCATATTAATTGCTTAAAACATAAAAGTGTTTTAAAGATCAGTCGCTCCATATTTAGAAATGGCTGTGAGATTTTTGATGAAAGGGCCTTCATAAGTATAAGAAGTTTCACTGTTACATGATTTTGATCACGGCTGATAACAGACGGCCATCACAAACACCCTCTGACAGAAGTGGAGGAGGAAGTGAGAAACTGGTTCAGGAGACACAATCCCATTTATTGTGTTTCCTAACATTTCAGTGATATTGTTTATTCTCTTAATGCTCTACTGTCATTCCTTTTATTATTACTGCTATTTTATTATCAGCAGAAGTAATCATAGTAAAATTAATTGATTTATTTTTGGAGACAGTAGAGTACATGCTGTTTCAGAATATCTTAAGAGATAGAAGAGCAACAGCAACAAAGTTATTACCACTAAATTAACTTCTCATTCTTTTTTTTTTTAATGACAACTATTATTTCACTTCCTTTTAGTTGGTGCTTCAGAAGATAACACAAACTGCAAACAGATGTCCCCTATGGACAGTTAAAATCAGCGCACTGTGAGCTTCAAGGCATGTCAAGAAAGCTCTTGGGACTGCATCAAGCCTAGAGAAAAGGTGTAAAACCTTCCCCAGATCTGCTGTTTAACAACCCAACATGCTGGCCTAGCCTGTATATGTTGAACTGAAGCACACAAAGAAGCTACTTACAACCCTCTGGGATTCGCACATAAATAAATTTTGTAGCCTACACGGTTCTCTTAATTCTTAAACAAAAACCAAATATTTTCAGCCAAAATAAAAAGTGTATAAATAACAAAAATCTCTCAACCACTGCATGCTTTCAAAAGTCTGGCGCATCTTGACTTTCTTTTCACCTATAACAGCCAGCTTGGATTCATTTGAGAGATTTCTCCTCTTTAATTTGGCCAAAAATGTAATGGAGGAACAGATTTGAATCCCTGTAAGTACCATAAGATTTCAAATTGTTTGGACTCATTTTATCTTTTCAATTTTAAAAGAGGATTTTAAAGATGAAAAGTAGACAGAGACTTGGAGGAAAGGGGGCGCTACTGCCAGGCCAGTGGAGATTTTGCATCCCAGAGGACATCTGGAAAAGCCACCCAGGAGACATTTTTGGTTGTCACCACTTGGGTGGTACTAGTGGCACTGATCACACAGAGGCCAAGGGTTGCTGCTAAATATCCCATAATGTGCATAAATGCACAAAACAGCACTCCACAATAAGGAATGCGCTGTGCAAAGCACAGCAGCTCACACCTGTGATACCAGCACATTGGAAGGTTGAAGCAGAAGGATTGCCTGAGGACAGGAGTTTGAGACCAGCCTGGACGACACAGCAAGATTGTGTCTTTACAAAAAATTTTAAAATTAGCCAATTGTGGTGGAACATGCCTGTAGTCCTAGTTAATTGGAGGGGCTGAGGCAGGAGGATCCCTTGAGCCCAGGAGTTCAAGGTTACAGTGAGCTACAATCGTGCCACTGCACTCCAACCTAGGCAGCCGACACCCCTGTCCTAAAAAACATATTTTTTTAATGTTCTAACCCCAAATAAAAATTGTGCGGAGATTGAGAGACCCTGTGCTAGGGCAAAAGGAATCAAGTTGGAGAGAATATGTACTAAAATCTGATTTATAATTTAGTAAGGACTCTTATTAAATATACAGTTTTTCTTATGCACTTTAACCTAGACTTGAGCAGGAAATGTACCAAGAGACCTTCATATACATCTTCTGTCCACAGAAAAAAACGAAAAGTGATGGTCAACCAAGCAGCCTGCTAATTAGCAGGCAGATAAAACACATCAAAACTTGAGTATTCCCAACTGGGCAATTTCAAAAGCGAGCAATCCACTAATTAAAAATGCTGTAAGTCTAGCTTTTTTCAAAACAGGTTAAATACTGACTGGGTTCCTTCACAAACAGATTCCTGACCAATCGGATCTGATTGCTCTTTTCCCACCCTTTCCTTCCCATGTCCGTCTTTCCCATTTCCCGACCTCACGCTGCGGCACCTTTCTTTGATTGCTCTCTGTTGAACAGGTTTCCCCTTCCCTCGGTCTCCTGCTAAATCTAGAGAATGAGGACAAACCACTAGCTCTCCCAAACCTAATAAATAGAACCATCATATGAATTCTAATTATATTTTATCTTTGGAAAAAACCTATAGAACTCGTGCTCATTTATCCATATCCATAGAAGACACCAAGCTATAGTATGTGCAATGGTAATTCATAATGAATGTAAACATGTTACTTTGAAGTCATTTTCTTTTATCTTCCCTCTCCTTGAACTTTATCAGACCTGCCACTTAGCATTTTCTCAATAACTACTCCAGCACACCACCAAGTGCATTTCAAAGAGCATCCACCGCCTGAATCACCTGTACGCCCATTTTAAAACTGGCTTATTAGGGTTCATCTCACATCTACTTTGGAACTCTTAAAGTAGGGTCAAGAAAACTGTTTTCAAAGGTCCCCTTTTATGCCCACAGGAGTTTGAAAACCACATGACTACTCTATTGTAAACATAAGACAAATGCATACCCCACGCCACCAACAGCAGCCTCTCTCACTCAGTATCTTACAATTCCTGTCTGAGTGGCTGGCTTCAGCAGCATTCAGTACACACCTACATCACAAGAGCATCCCAGAAGTTTTTGGCCAGACTCTTTTTTTTTGAGATGGAGTTTTGCTCTTGTTGCCCAGGCTGGATGGAGTGCAATGGTGTGATCTCGGCTCACCACAACCTCCGCCTCTTGAGTTCAAGCGATTCTCCTGCCTCCGCCTCCCAAGTAGCTGAGAATACAGGCATGCACCACCACACGTGGCTAATTTTGTTTTTTTTTAGTAGAGACAGGGTTTTTCCATGTTGGTCAGGCTGGTCTCGAACTCTTGACCCCAGGTGATCCACCTGCTTGGGCCAAAGTGCTGGGATCACAGGCATGAACCACCGCGCCCGGCCCAGACTCATTTTGAAATAAACCTTGCATGTGGCCTACACCTAACCATTCCTTATTCCTGCTAATATGCCTGGACACTGCAGGCTTTTACACCACCATGTTTTTGTAACTGCTCTTCCCTCTGCCTAAGCTGCTCCTCACCTCTCAAAGAAAGAGTAACAGCTCACATTTAGTGAGCTTGAATGTACATCAGATACTGTGCTAAACTCTCAAATCCCTTAACAGTATTCTGGTTTTATATATTAGAAAACTGAGGCTTAGATGGGTTAGAAAACTTGCCCAAGGGACCAGGAAATGGCAGAGCTTGGACACAAAGGGAGGCTGAAGCTGCGCCCACTGTCGTAAAGGCTCCCCAGTAAGAATTTCACATTTCTCTAGGAAAGCTGAATGTTCCCTCCTGTCACTTCTCCCCAGGCAGAGTGAATAGAGTTATTTGGGAGTTTATACCCACTGTTGTGTCCACAAAAGATTACAGAAACACATACAACACATAATATATGAAATCAACATTCGAAGGAATCAAAAGACTGGAAAATAAAAGCAGGGAGAACAATGAGGCCAGAGGTATGATGAGTTTATCAAAAGGCAGACAGTAAGGACTGGCTATTTGCTAGAGGTGGGTCAAAATTTGAGAAGCTATTAAGTAGACAAAGCAAAGAGGGAAACAAGATTGACAATAACCATCAGATAAAAACACACAAAGTGTTCAGGAGAAACATAACTATTCCCGGTATTAAGCCAGACAGAAAATACCTGTGAGTTCCCAACACAGAGGACAGAATGTCCTATAGCAGCCCATAGTATCAACAGTAGGTACAATGATAAAACTTGTATGGCTGGCTCAGTACGATAGTCCAGCAGGTACGCAGAATTTATTATCCACATAACCATGTGAATATATATGCAGCTACAGAGCTTCATATTTATCTCATACCCAACGGTGGCATACGTTTAGTACAGCAAAGAAACATGCTTGACACAAATAACATCCTGTGTGGTACTGTACAATGGTGGGCTCATTAGTTCTTTATTGAAATGAATTAAAACAGCAGAAAGAGAAAAATAAGACAATATTGCCATATGAGAAGTGTTTACATCAAGAGGTGAGACTAAACAATATACAGGAAAAAGATGTGTGAAATCCATTAAGGCAACTTAGGGGCAAATGAAGACCTGCCTGAGA